GGTCGAGCCCCGTCTGCAAGAGGGGAGTCAGTTGGTTCCGCCCCGGGGGGTTGGTAGCGCCCTCCTCCCCCTTACCTGTTTCTCCCCCCCTCCCCCGTGTCCGAGGGGGAGCCTGGTACAGTCCGGACCCTGTCCAGGGGGTTGGTACAGTCCAGTCCCCCCCACAATCCCACGGGATGGTCCAGCCCGAGCCCCTGGCGGCCCCTCAGAGCCCCTTTTACTCCAACAGACAAAATGGTGAATGAATCTAGACCAGCTGGAGCAACCGGCCAATCAGCGGGCACAACGCCCTGACTGGCAGCCACGCGAGCCGACGGACACGAGGCAACACCAAGACACAGCCCGCCCCCAAGAGTGACATTGACAGCGACCAATCAGAGGCGAGGAAAGGCGGGTATTATCTCAGGTAATCCCACCCCCTCCCTTGGAGAGACAGTTACAGTAGCCAATGAGAAGCTGATAACGACAGAAAGCGAGTGGAACGGGAGGTACAGTAGCCAATAGCAGCAAAGGGGAGGGGCCGGGCTGGGCCAGACCCCGACTTGTTTACCTGGCGCGGAGCGAGGCGGAAGCGCGAGGCCGCGCGGCGGCTCCTGGGAGTTGTAGTCCCCCCCACCCCCTCCCTTGGAGAGACAGTTACAGTAGCCAATGAGAAGCTGATAACGACAGAAAGCGAGTGGAACGGGAGGTACAGTAGCCAATAGCAGCAAAGGGGAGGGGCCGGGCTGGGCCAGACCCCGACTTGTTTACCTGGCGCGGAGCGAGGCGGAAGCGCGAGGCCGCGCGGCGGCTCCTGGGAGTTGTAGTCCCCATCCCGGCACGGGCGGCGGCACCACCTCCCCACAAGACCACTATGGCTCCCGGCATGCACAGCGGCCACGTCCTGTTCCGCGCTGAGCCTGCCGGGAAATGTAGTCCCAGCCGCCGGGCTCCCGGCTCTCCGGACTACAACTCCCAGCAGCCCCCGCGGCGGACCCCGCACCACGCGAAATTTAGTCCCCCCCCGTGGCCGGCTCTGCGGAGGCACCTGGACGCCCCCTCCCCCGGAGAAACTACAACTCCCATCGCCCCGCGGCGGCCCCGCCTCCCCCCCCCCCGCCGCAAGGCCGGGGAGATAAACTCCAAGAGACCCCTCTGGGACCCCTCCTGCGGGAGGCTAATTTGCATGTCAT